GTAAAAGTGGGTAGTGTTTGGTAAAATAAGTGCTTTTTGTGTAATAGAAAAAGTAAAAGCACTTTTGACGCGGAAGCCGAGGAAAATAAAAGTTGTAGTGTTTGGGAAAATAAGTGCTTTTTTAAAGCCAAAAGCTGAGAAGTGCTTTTTTAAAAGCAGTTGCAAACAGAGCCTAAGAAGTGCTCTACACTCAAAAAAAAAAGTGCTCTACATAAATATTCGAGAATTGAAATGGCAGCACTGCCCCCATTATTCACAATTCTTCCAGACTTCCACTGATGATATCAATCCAATTTAATAAATAAATCATTAATAAGCTAAAAGGAGTAAATGGAACAAAACCTCGGTGTTAGACTTGCACTGGAGTCTAAAACGACAAAGACTAGTGTATTACCACCATGGAGGGCTCGAGCGATGAAGATAGAAGAGACTCATACTTTGTGGCTCTGGCCTTAATTTCATAGAACCGTCTCATGGAACAGTTCATCAATTCTTATTGAGGGATTTCATAAATCTAAAATCAAACCCACAGACTAGTTGTTTCTATTCGAAATTGAGATTTGAGAAGTTTAGGACCTGTTTAGTAACAGAGATATTTTCATGTTTTCTACTTCTGTTTTTCGTTCTCCAATTTTTTGTTTTTATTTTTCAGTTTTTCTATCTCCAATTTTCTGTTTTTATTTTTTAGTTTTCCATTTTCAAATCTAAAAACATGCTCATCAATTTTTTCACTCAATTCTCCAATTCCACTCCCTTGACCCCTACCCCGACCCTTACCACGATCTTACACTCAGTGGAAGAATTGTGAATAATGGGGGCAGTGCTGCCATTTCAATTCTCGAATATTTATGTAGAGCACTTTTTTTGGAGTGTAGAGCACTTCTTAAACGGCACTTCACTACAAAAGACATCAACCGTGTAGTGCTTTTTTATTTAGATTTTTAGCATGTCTTCTAAAATTTAAAAATATCAATATGAAAAATGTATGTCTTTTATGCTTTATACCTAGGGCCTCCTATATAGTTTGGAACAGGGCCTCTAAAATATTCGGGTCGGCCCTGTTGGACTGCAACAATATATTACAAACGGTTGACCATGTCAGCTATTTTAACGTTTTAACCGAGCAAATGTACTTAATCAACATTAAAAATGCAAGTTCATGTGCTTTGCAGTTTCAAGTGTAAGATGAAGTACTACTTAGTCTACTTGAAACAAATTCATGTACCATTTTGACCATTTTCTCTTTTATCAGTAGTAAACTTGATTTGGCAATTAACTATGGTTCAAACCAACTCAAAATCTTTTAGAGGGCGTTTGGTAAGATGTAAAATAAGTAAAATAATTACTTTGCATGAAAAGTGTAAGGACGTAAAAAGTTTACACTATTTGACTTGATTATTTAATGTAAACTGTAGAACACTTTTTAAAACATTTCGTACTGTATCATGTAAAATATTTTACGTGAGGGAAGAGTGGGAAAATACTTTGTGTGCTTTTTATAAAGCACTGTAGTGCCTTTGCGTGCATATCAAAAATAAATTAAATATCGAACCAAACAATGTAATCTATTTTACATGTAAATTAATTACTTCCCTAAACTTTGCATGCAATCATTTCGCTCATAAAGATTTAACGTGTAAACTACCAAACGAGTCCTTAAGGGGGTGTCCCCAAGTAGGAGTTGAATGACTTTTAAAACATCCATAGATTTTGAAATCCGACAGATTCTACAAGATTTGTGGTGGAATGTTTTTGTATATAAAAATCCACCCAAATTCATTAAAATCTCACAAATTCTACACCCTATTAAGGAAAAATTCACATGAATAATCTCAACTATTAGTAGTCTTCCAATATTAATCCCAACTATCCATAATCCTAGAATAATCTGAAATTTATTGACAACCTTCCATAGTTGATCCTAGTTACCTACAACTTAGACAACCAGTAAAAAAAATTAAAAGAAAGATAAATGGGCACCAGGCTATTCATCTTCACTTGCTCTATTTTCTCCAGGTTCCTTGCTTCCTTCTTTCGTGTCTTGGCCTTCAATTTTTCTTTCTTTTCTTCCTCCACCCACATGGATTTCTACTCACCTTCGATTTCATTCTCAAATTTGCTCCTCAAATTTGTATGTCACTCTTTCAATTTCACATTTTAATGATTTGATCTGGTCAATCAAAATCTAATTTGACACTATGCAATATTCATCACGTTCGATGACCAGCCCAGAATGACAGAAGGTTAAAGATGGAGATTATGCCAGTTGATATGAACAGGCGCGTGGTGGCGATGAACAGATGGGAACGACGGAGGGCTGATGTGTGGTGATGAACTGATAAGATGGAAGGACACTGAAGATGCATGGGACAGACGACTGAGGGTTGCTTATCTTAGTTGGTTGGCTGGGTGGCGACGCTGGAACAGGGACAGGTCGACCGCCGACGTCTCCACTCACATGGTTCACCCGAACACTCGGACGCCCGGAAAGGAAAGGAAGATGAAAGAAAAATTGAAATGAAAAGGAAAAAAATAAAAAAGAAAAAGAAAAGAAAACCAATAGAAAAAGGCGATGTGTCCTATTTACCTGCTGAATGGGTTTATGTAGGTCATCGGTTCATTCTGAGAAGATGCCTATTATAATTCAGATTATTTTAGAATTATACATATTTGGGATTAATATTGGAAGATGGTTAATAGTTGAGATTATTCATATGAATCCTCTATTAAAATCTTCCACAATATCCCTTAATTACACGGAATATTCAATTACACGAGCCAAGGTCGGACAGACTACAGAAGTACAGTACTTTTTAAAACGAGTCCGTCGCGGGTTGGAACATGCAACAATCAAACTACTGTACAGATGGAATCGCCTGAAAATCACGAGCAGCAACGCCGGTCGCCGCCATCGTCGTCCACCCCAAAGCTCTTCACCTTATTCTCCGCCTTGGTGCTCATCTCAGCAATTTCATACGGGTTCGTCCTATCAACCCGCTACAATCATGTCCACATCTTCTCCCGACCCAACAGCATTTTACAAAAGCTCCGAAATATTCTTCACCCAAACCCCAAACGAGCCCTAAATCAGACTCCATCAAACCTCAATCCCGCACCCCCTCACTGTCTACTGTGGATGGCTCCTTTCTTATCAGGTGGTGGGTATAGCTCAGAATCTTGGTCATACATCCTATCCTTACACCAGTACCTTAAACACAAAAAAGATCCAAAATTTAGGGTCAGCATCGAGCAACACGGAGATCTTGAAAGCGTGGAGTTCTGGGAAGGTTTATCACCGGAGATGAGAAACTTAGCTATCCAGCTCCATCAAACTCAATGTAGATTGAATGAAACAATAGTGATCTGTCATAGTGAGCCTGGAGCTTGGAACCCTCCTTTGTTTGACACCCTCCCATGCCCACCAATCGGTTATGGGATCTTCAAGGCTGTGATTGGGAGAACCATGTTTGAAACCGATAGGGTAACTCCTGATCATGTCCAACGGTGTAACAATATGGATTATGTTTGGGTTCCTACTGATTTTCATGTGGAGACATTTACCCGGAGTGGGGTGGATCCTTTCAAGGTTATTAAGGTTGTCCAGGCAGTTGATTTGGAGTTCTTCAATCCGGCCAAGTATGAACCTCTTGATATTCATGCAATGGGCAATTTAGTGTTAGGGAACGATGAGAATTTAAGGAAATCATTTGTCTTCTTAAGTGTTTTCAAATGGGAGCATAGAAAGGGATGGGATGTGCTGTTGAGTTCGTATTTGAGAGAATTCGACAAAGAGGAAGGCACTGCTTTGTTTTTGTTGACTAATCCCTATCACTCAAATAGAGATTTTGGGAACAAGATTGTTGAGTATGTTGTGGAGACGGCTGGGTTGAAAGAACCAGTCAGTGGGTGGGCCCCGATATATGTGATCGATGACCATATACCTCAGGTTGATCTGCCGAGGCTTTACAAGGCAGCCAATGCGCTCGTCTTGCCTTCCAGAGGAGAGGGTTGGGGAAGGCCCATTGTTGAGGCCATGGCAATGTCACTGCCTGTGATAGCCACAAATTGGTCAGGCCCAACAGAGTACCTGACCGAATCAAATAGTTACCCGTTATCCGTTGACAAGTTCAGCGAAGTTACAGAAGGGCCATTTAAGGGGCACTTGTGGGCTGAGCCATCTGTTGATAAGCTGAGAATGCTAATGAGGCATGTAGTGGTCAACTATGAGGAAGCCCAAGTCAAAGGGAAGCGGGCTAGGGATGATATGATTGGCAAGTTCTCTCCTGACATTGTGGCTGGGGTTGTTGCCGAACATATACATCACATCATTGATAATGCCAATTGAGGAATTTAATAGGAAAATTTTCTTATGAAGAAGATTTCTGATAAACTGAACAAGGTCGATGGTGGAGAGTTCATCCCGATGGGCGATGGCTTGTTAAAAAAATCCAAACAGCATTTTCTTGGATGTATCGCCTTCTGTTTATAGCTGCAAAGAACAATGAATGGCGGATGTATGGATTGAAATGTGATGGTGGTATACGGATTGTTAAATATGTTACGGGTTGTTATAACATATATACTGATTATTCATGATCCTTTAAACTCAGCTGTCTTTCATAGATTTAGAAATCAACTTTTGATTCATAGGAGCAACAATTTTGTTTTGTTATGTTTTGTTTTTGTTTTTGTTTTTGTTTTGTTTTGTTTTGTTTGTTAGGTGGCATTGTTCCTAAGGTGTCAGAATATGAAGTTCTTAAGCTGCCAAAATATTGAATATAGGCCTAGTTCAAGGATCTACATTGTGGGTTTATGATAGAATTTAGAGGACATAAGTGTATACTGGTTAGCCGACCCCAAAATCTCTTGGGACTAAGGCTGGGATGTTGTTATTGTTAAGTGTATACTAGTATATTCAAGATTAGCAGTATATTATAGAGGACAATGCATGACATCTTAAATATAGCATGTTAAAAGAGAGCATGTCAAACAATCATACATTGTCAAAACAAAAACAATTATTAATATTAAGAACATAATTTCTGATATGATAGTTCCATTGTGTATATTTTGATACGCACCGGAAGTAGAAAACTCCCCATTTGGTCTCACTGAATTATTACAAATATAAACAAACAAAATAAAACGCAGCAATGAAATCCATATTTTTAAATGTATATATTTAAGCCAGCTGATTACTTCCAACTCCAGAATTTCACCATTTGAGCTTTTCTGGGAAGTACTGCAAATCCAAGATTTTGCAATTTCAGTTAAACAGAAAGATATGGATCACTTCTTCAGATATAGTAAAAAAATAAGAATGAAATCTGCATCCTGCAATTTTACCTTCTTGATGAGAGACTCATAGTATGGCTTCACTTTTTCCACATCAATCCTGACTTTGCTCTTGCTGTACAGATCATATTGGCTACATGCAGAAAGCAGCCGTCTTATTCAAGTTAACAATATCAAATGAGAGAAAACATTATGGAAAATTGAAGGAAAACAGAAAAAACATTTACTTGAATATTTTGAGCCATTTCAGATTCTCCCGATCCTCATCATTCATCAGGTGAGTATATGCTCCTGACTTGTGCAGAGCTTCAAAACATACAACAAATAAAACATTGAGTTTATGATTCAGGCTTCCATCATAATAAAAGGTGTATGAGTGTATCCCATAGGCTTTGTAAATAGTTTTATATGTTGGAACAAAATGATTCTGAAATGCGTTGGTTCTTTTGTTAAGCTTACGACTATGAAATTGTTCGTTTGAGTTTAGTCTACTATGAAAGCACTTTCAGAATTTTAAATTCTGAATTGCATTCAAAATAACCTTGAACAAACTTGTGAAATAGAAAAGAAATACTAACGATAAAAGGAGTGGTATCTGATAATAAACAGCCCTGCATTTGGTAGAGTAGTCTTGTTATTTTTAGCCACCTGTAAGTGAAAACCAAATCCATCAATTGTACAGAAATAATCTAATTACAAGATGATACTAAAATGAGGGGAAAATATGAAAGTTTTACCAGGTACATGTAGTCATCATGTCCCCAAGACATCAACACATTATCCAGCCCACATCCTTCAGAATAAACCCCATACTTAGTGTTGTAAGCGGGATTATCATAATCAGGGTTCTGCTTGAAGAACTGAAATATAGAATTCTTAGTTAATAGTACTACATATGTGCTCCAGAACTATAATATAAAAATTATAACCAAACATTAAAAAATGTTGGTTTACTAGCAGACCTCAGGATGAACATTTGTGTCATCAAATGCGCAGCCAAGAGGAAAGGTGTCACCTGGGAAAAATCTTAAATGTTAGAAGTCAACATCAACAACACTAATAATAATAAATAATAATAATAATAGATCTTTGATCAATGTTGCATAGCTGAAATGTATATATGCCTCACCTACAACCGCCCATTGAGGGAGCTGCCCGAAGCTTGGTAGCAGCAGAACTTTACCAAGATCTAAGACATTAGAGATAATATATAAAAGAATTAAAATCTAGAATGCATTTTAGCAGCAGGCAGGCAATAATATCACCCTTTAACTTAATTATAGGAACCAGTGTTTCAAGAATCCGCCAATGCACTACGGCGCCAAATAAAACATGAGGTTCTTTCTATCTTCAGAGGGTCATGTGAAAACATAAGTTGTAACACACAGATCTTATGAAAATATGTGAGTTAGTTCAATAGCACACCGGCCTAAATTGCAAAGATAAATTTTTTGACAAAGTTAAAAGTGATGTGTTTACCAATAAAATGCCGAACTTAATACCCGAGATTTTATTCAAAAACACAATAATCTGATAGAAGGAGACCAATACCTTATATATTTTCTCGTATTTCCATATTTGTCCAATGTGAGAATGTTTTAACAGCCCCTAGTCTGAAATAATAATTTCAGACTAATTTCAAATTTGACATTCTTTTGGAACTGGCTGACCAGGTGTCAACTATGCCCCCTTAAACAAGCATTTTATTGGTAAACACTGCATTTTTCATTTTTTATAGAAAAATAGAGTTGGCAACAGACCATGGATAAGTGCAGTCAAATGGAGCCAATCTTCATTAGGGTAGTCTTTCCTTATGGCTTCAGCAGTTTGCAACAAATGCTCAATCTGGGGTTCATCGAGATCAGGATCACTATCATCCACAACCTCATTTAATAGCTCGCAACATTCCCATATGCTCATCTCCACCCGATCCAACTTTCCATACTTTTCCCTCATCTTCTTCACCTGCATTATCATCACCAGTTATACGTAAATAAGTTTCTTTACCCTTGCATTTGTTCTTCCATCATTTCCAATGGAGTCAAAGACTCACTATTTTTTTTGTCTTGAGAATATGATTGAATAAAGCAAAAGGCTCACTAAACTGTTTGTGCTTCTTTGTTATGAAGCAACAGTCAGCCCATGCAATTTTTGACGCGATTTTCATCATGGGTCATCTGGAAATAGTTTCTCGATGCTTTAGTACAGGGGTAAGGCTGCGTACATCTGACCACTTACCCCACCGTAGGTGAGAGCCTTTGCGGCATTGGGGTAACAATGTTGTTTGTACCCTTGCATTTGTTCTCATAAATAAGAATATTGTGTTCGCCTCCTAACAAATCTATCTTACAAAATCATATGTTTGGCTGATGTGGCTTTGACGATAGAGCCCCTCAACGATCTCCTTTCTTGCTGTATCTGCACTATAATCCCTGCAAATAATGTTGGTTTCAAAGTCCAATGATTATGCAAACTTAACAACTATCTGTTATATATTCTGATATCATCCTGCCCGATTACATATAAAAGATAAAGATGACATACAAGATCGAAATCTATATGAAAATATAAACTCACCTGAATGTGTTGCCAAAAGCATTGCTGTCGGGCATGACAAAGCCACCACTTTCCACTTTCTTCAGCTCTGCAAAAACATTACTCTAACTGTTATATATCCTCAAATTCCATTGCTACTACAAACATAAAAGAATGCAAGAAAAGAGAAAAGTAAATCAAGTGTGCCATTAATGTCACCATTTAGCATGCAGCAACATCAATATAATGCTATAACAGAGAAACTATAAGAATGAGAAAGGAAGGCAGCTGATTAGTTACCATCAGGCACAACCACTCCTTTCTCCTGAATACCCATACCTGGAAAATCCAAAAAACAGAACGAAAAGTTTCTATGAAAACATTAAGTAAAAATTCATTTATATACACTAAACCCTGAACGTACGTTTATAAATAAACAAAAATACAAATTTGGGGCATCTTATATTAATTAAATGGTCTGTATATATACATTATATATTATGTAGCTAGAGCTAAAGACTGAAAAATATTATGATTAAAAACGATATATACCATGTTCATCATCAACTTGGTGAACGATGATGGTCATCTTGACGTACAGATGAAAAAGAGTACTTAGAATAGGATGGGCTTAATGAGCTTTCGGAGTTTGGAGAGCCAATTAATGAGCGAGTTTTTGATTTTATATATTTATAGGTCAACTTAGAATGTCCTGAATCAACAAAATCAGAGATTTTTGGGTCCTCAATCATAAATCAAATAAAGAAAGTGAGTCATCGTCACATATGATCATCTTTATCCGAAATTCTCTGAATGCCGCCGCCTGCATATAATTTAATTCAATTTTATTTTATTTATTACTGATCCATATTTATTTGTCAATATTAAGTGAACTTGACCACACTATAACAAACGTACGGTAATTAATGCTCATGCTTTGAATTAGTCTCAGATGACTCAGCTTGAGGTGTATATACGTGTGCATGTAGGATATTGATTTCCCATTTTTCAAATATTATATCTTAAAAAGAATATTTCATATTATTATACCCGCACACACATATATACACATAAATTTTTGTAAAAACACAAATTCGTTCACATGAAAAATTGAAAAATGATCTAGTGCATTAGATTTGCTGTCCAAATTATATATTTTAAAAATATCAACAATGTGCACTATATGTAAATGATTTTTTCTGTAATTTTTTACAAATAATTAATCATCATACTGCTGTGATGAGAATGAGACTTATATGTTGCTGTATTTGAAAATAGTTAATACTCACATATTGACATATATAAATAATACTCCCTCCGTCCCGCAAAATAGTTCCCGACTTCCTTTTTGGGCCGTCCCAAAAAATAGTTCCCATTTCCTCTTTTGGAAAGTTTTGTGTGGCTCAGATTTATTTACCTTTTTCTTACACAACCACAACCATACATTTCCACTTTATTCCCACTTTCTTAAACTCCGATCCAAGTCAATGCGAGAACAATTTTATGGGACGGATGGAGTACTTAGAATCTTGCTGTATTTGAAAATAGTTTTTTTTGGACAATTCTTTCTAACCTATATAGTATCTGCTCAATGTTAATGCCAACATCCTTGAACTGGGATGAGATTCGAACCTGTGACCTCCTCATTGGGAGTGTCACAGTGATGCCATAAGATCATAAGGTACTTGGCTATTTGAAAATAGGTAATACTCATATGTTGACATATATAAATAATACTTAGAATATTGCTGTATTTAAAAATAGTTAATACTCACTTATTGACATATATAAATAATACTTAGAATGTTGCTGTATTTTAAAATAGTTAATACACATATAAATTGTGCATGTTAAAGAGAAGATCACTGTTTAGCAAGAGAAATGCAAAATTTTCTTCCCATCATTTTTATATGTGAACAATGCATTTTTATATGTGAACATATTAAAGTGCAGTGCTTAAATCATTAAATGCTACGGAGTACTATTTCAAATCTCTTTCAAAAATTTCAAATTAAATCTAACGCATTGGTAAATTTATTTAGGATTTTTATGCTATTTAAAAGTGACCACTTTTAAGGTGATAAAATTAGAAAATTATGAATGTCATCGATTTATTATGTTACTAATATTTTCTTTTTCATTGCCATCACATTATTATACTCCCTCCGTCCCGCTAGAAGGTTCCCGTTACGGTTTACGATGCTTGACTGATGATAAAGCAACTTAATCCCTATTCACACTCTGATTATTTTTAGTAAATAAAATCTACATATTTAAAAACTACATTAAAACCACTACAAAGCCTGATAAAAAATGTAAATTTGATAAAAGTTTGATATATAGAGCAAAAGATTAAAAATGATTTAAGTTGAACATGTGAGTAGTGGACGGGAACCTTCTAATAAGACGTATATTAGTTATATGGGTATAGTGGGACATGTCGACTCTGTGAGTCTGTGACCATCATAAATGATTTCTGCATGTCTTCTGGCGAATTTTAAAAAAATACGGAGCATCAGATAAGACAATTCGAAGGGTGGACTGTTGAGTAGGAATTGGAGGGAAAAAAAAATTAACCAATTTTATAAAAGTTAGTCACGTTTTTTAGAAAAAAATAGTCATATTTTTGTTTTTCAAAAGTGTAGATGTTTATGTCATCCAGTCACTTATTTTCAATTGGTAAATCCACGTCTTTCAATTTGATCCAATCTATTTTAATATAATAACAAAAGGTTTTTTGGAGAAGAAGTTCCCGCCAATTAAACCTTTCTTGGGCAAAACGGTAGAGTTTGAGGTGAAATTTTAATGTTTGTAGTCCATCATTTCCAATTCTCATTTCTCAATGTACGCGTTTAGTGTATGTGCTCATTTTAAAGGAAATTTTCTAGATAAACCTTCTGGCATCAATATTTATATTTAGGTAAATTATATGGTACCCATAAGGTACCATACATTTGTCCACATGGACCAATGAGAATGTTGCAATTGAATTATTTAAATTTAAATTAAAAGTGATAAAGTGATGTGGTCCAATCAAATGAATGATAGGTACGGTACCCCATTTTTTAAAAGGGTACCGGAATTGTCACCTTATACTCCGTATTTAATATTTAATGCTACCGTTTGCAACTTTACGATTACCAATATATTTAGCTTTTCAAGATAAAAACATTGCACGTTCACCGCCCATTTGTTTTTTGGCTATTTCAGATTTCCAAGTTTTATTTACCTTTATTTACCTTTTCAAATTCCTGTTTGTGTACGTGTATAAATATCTTCCATTTGCAGCTCAATCGTTGACAACTTGACGCGACCAATAACATACTCATTTTCATATAATTCAAGTTTTTTCCATTTCTATATATTTTCTATTCGACAATATGGTTAGCATGCATGTGGATTTTGATCAAGCATATCACTCTTGCGAAGTATGTTGTGCCGTAAACCGTGCTACCTGTGTATAGCATCTAATAACATCAACCTATACTCCGTAGTCCGTAAAAGATAACTCACCTTTAGATTTCTTCTAATGAACTTGAAGCTAAATATTTTGTTTGAAAAATGGAGTGTACTTATTTGCGTTCCGATCAACTGACAGAGAAAATTCACGAAGGTGAAAGGCATAGGGATTGAGAAATCAGCATGCAGAAACCTAAGGATGCATAGCTACATGATTTTGAAGGTAAATGATTTTTGAAAAAAGAAATATCTGTCATTGTAGATTGCAGTTATCCGTAACAGTGATCGAATTAGAGAGAAATGCATCGGTGGAAGATGGAGTGGTTGGGAACTACGTAGAAACCTAAGGCGAATTATCTTTTACGGAGTATATGTTGATGTTATTGGGTTATTTGAATGGGCTTCTTATGTTATATAATGGATAAATCATGAGTATAGAATTATGATAACAAACGTGCCAATTTACACTTTATGGGTTTGATTTATACATTTATATTTATTTAATTTCTAAATAACATTGTACTCCATGTCTCTTATAACTTTATCATCATTAATATTTTGATTGTCTAAGAAATTTTGTCAATTTTCACTTTGTATCAATTAATTTGTGATTCATAATACGAAGTATGTCGTTGTTTTCAAAGTTACTAATCCATTAGGATTGAAAATCTAAAATGTAGACAAGGAAAATAACACCTAAAATGAGCCAATAAATATGGTTTACAAAGAAGTGTTTTTGAAACTGTACTCTCCAATGTGTATTAATTAGAGATCTTAATTATTTTCTTATAATTCATTTTAATGTTTACATATTACTACTCTTTGGTTTCTAATACTTAGAATATATATCTCTGCCCGAATGTGTTTGTTTTTGTTAAAGACATTTGATAAAAACAATAATCCTAAACGTTTTTTTAATGCACCAATGGAAATGTTATAAATGAAATATAATGATAAAATATCCCATTATTTATATGAAACCGATACTTATTACAATGATTATCTACAATTGACATCTAAGATAACTTTAAAGCATAAACACAAAAGGGATTTGCAACATTATAAAAAAGATTATGCAATTAAGTGTTATTATAATGTATATAATAAATTCACAAAATAAAATTCAAAGAAAGCATCAATAAATCCCATATTCCTTTTCTTAGCTAGATCAATTGAAATATAAAATGGTTAGAACATGGAGTAATAGATTGGAATTGTAAAAATAATTTAGTCCTAGGTTTGTGTGGGTCGTTGCGGTGCTTATTTAATACGTAGTATATTGCTTTAGAAAATGGCTGCATGATCCTTTGGATTTAATGGAGCAATCTATTGGAATTGGTCATGTGTACAAATGCATGGATTTATGAAAAAGAGAAATGGTGTCAAACAGGACCATAACTTTCAGTATATAATTAAATAAGACCTTGACTTTTTTTACTCTTAAATAGGACTAATTTTTTCATGTGTTCCAAATTTACCCCCTTCTGTTCGTTTCTTTCTAGATCGACGCCTTTCAGACCCTTCCCGTCCCAATTCTTTGTGAAAAACAAATGTCGAAGAATAGAGATCAGATCAAATCTTTGAAGAGAAGGTGAGTCGACGATGAAAGAGAATATGGGCAGCGAACTGTACCGCCGGCGAAGGTGTCGCCGATCAGATCTGTCTTCTTTTTCTTCTCTTTTCTTTTCCGCCCCTCCTCTTTTTCTTCTTTCCTTCCGTTCCTGACTCGCTGCTTGCTGGCCGCTGCTTATTTATCTCTTTCTTCAGATCCGATTTCTTCCGCCTCTTTACCGTTTTGCTTTTTCAATTCCTTCGTAAAGTTGGTTTCAATCTTATTGTCTTATTCTATTTCCTATTTCAATTTGTACCGTAACTCCGCAAGTGTTTTTTTGTTACATACGTTGAGTGCTATGTTTTGTTTTGTTTTGTTTTTGACAGAAGAAGAGTGCTATGTTTTGTTTAATTTTTATATTGATTGCACATGCTGAAAATAAAAATGTCATTAGTTTTAACAATGTCATTTTCATAATAATTGACATTCTTATGACATTGTCATTGATATTTTTATGACATTATCATTGACATTTTTAAGACATTGTCATTGACATTGTCATCGTGATTAATTGATATTACAACATCTTTTCGACATTGTGACTTTTTTTTATTAAATTAACATTGTCATAATAGATATTGACATTGTTACAATTACAATGTCATTTTATAGGATCGACATTGACATTGCCATTGTGACATTTTCTTAAGCCGGTGACATTTTTATACATTTATATGACATTCTTTTGACTTTTTTTTATAAAATTAACATTGGCATAATAGCTATTGACATTGTCATAATTACAATGTTATTTTATAGCGGAATCGAT